AAATGCAAGAAATAAATAAATAAATAAATTGCTCCCCTCCTTAAGAAGTCCCCTATATTTCAGCCTCTACACACAGCATAAAGTGCTTGTGCCGTGAAATCATATTCATGTTAATAGGAAGTATATTCCACAGTGTCCAATGGAGCTTATAAGCAGCTACCTTACAAAGGATTGCAACCTTCATTCTTAAACAACTGTTCACCATCTCATCCCATGTCATATTGAAGAAGAAGAGGTGGTGGTGGTGGTGGTGGAAACAATATTTGGAAAGAATGGGAAGATGTTATCATTTTTTGAAAATTATTCCACCCACTTTTCTCTTAAGGCCAACTTATCCATCAAATTTCCTAAGAGTTGATCCAGAAAAAAATAGCAGTGCTGAAAGCATTCTTAAAAACGGTTCTGTGCCAAATACTCAATTCACAAGTCAATGCAGGTTTAGCATATAATTGCCAAAGAAATGCTGGGCACAAAGACTGAAGTAATTTAGTGGTTTCTCCAGAGTAAGCTGGCTGCTTTATGGATCCACTCTACCCATCTTCATTCGACACTAAAATGGCTATCTAAATGGGAAAAGTCATATAGGTTGGGAATGGGGCAGTGAATGCTTTCCTTGAAGTTTCACTGAGACCAGAACTTGGGAAAGTGACTTTATAGGTGATCAGAATCCTTCAACAAACATGGCCCCTAACTGCGCCTCTGGCTGTGCTGTCTTTGGATTTCTGGAAATCCAAAATATTACTTTTCCTGGCCTGGAGGAAAATTCTCCTGTCCTTGCCTTTTCTCTTCTCTATAATAATAACAGACTGAAAAGTCCTAAAGCAGTGGTTCTCAACCTGTGTCTCCCCAGATATTTTGGCCTTCAACTCCCAGAAACAGCTGGTAAACTGGCTGGGACTTCTGAGAGTTGTAGGCCAAAGCACTAAGGCAATAGATCCTGTGTGACTCAGGGAGGCCTTCCACATAGCTCTATATACCAGAATATCAAGGCAGAAAATCCTACAGTATCTGCTTTGAACTAGGTTATCTGAGTCCACACTCAGATAATGTGGGATTTCCTGCCTTGATATTTTAGGATATAGAGCTGTGTGGAAGGGCTCTGGAAGCTATGCAGGGTCAGCCCTGGATAGTACTTGGAATGAACATTAATGCTGTAAATTATATTTCAGGGAAATGGCAAACCACCTGTTAGGATCACTTGCCTAAGAAAGCCCTATGAAATTCCTTGGGTCACTATAAGATGACAGGCAACTTGAAGGCACACATACATACCCCACAACAGCAATACACATCTATTTCAGGTAGAAACATTCACTGGAGCTTTTCAGGGTATTTGGGCATAAGGTCCAGCACACTGGACAGCTCATTTCAAGTTCACATTAAAACCCAAAGCAACTTCACTAAGCTACAGGCATAGAAACAACTAGTGGATAAAGTTAAACCAGGGGTCCCCAAACTAAGGCCCAGGGGCTGGATACGGCCCTCCAAGGTCATTTGCCCAGCTCTTGCTCAGGGTCAACCTAAGTCTGAAATGACTTGAAAGCACACAACATCAATTCTATCTCAACAACAACAACAACAATAATCCTATCTCATCAGTCAAAAGCAGGACCACACTTCCCATTGAAATACTAATAAGTTTATATTTGTTAAAATTGTTCTTCATTTTAATTATTGTATTGTTTTAAAGTGTTTTTGTGCACTACAAATAAGATATGCACAGTGTGCATAGGAATTCATTCATGCTTTTTTCAGATTATAATCCAGCCCTGCAACAGTTTGAGGGACTGTGACCTGGCCTTCTGTTTAAAAAGTTTGAGGACCCCTGAGTTAAACCAATGTAATCTTGTTCATTTCTGTGGAAATCTTTCCAGTAGTCCCATTCCAATCAAGTGTCAGTCCATGAAGTTCAGATGAAATGGATACAGAGAAATGGATACAGAGACCTGGAATGCCCTGGGCTCATATTCAGCCTCTGAAACTGAGCTTGGATGATAAAATGTCTTCCTTCCTTCAGAAACTGAGAGCCGAAAGCCTATCTCTCATGGCAGGAAGAAATTGAATAGCAGGCAGGGTGGCCATACCTCTTTCTAGAAGTGCAAACTGCAGCCAGGTCACTGTGCTAATCTGCTAGTTATTACAAGAGACAACAGAGCACCTTTGAGGAAAGGGTTTATTGTGGTCTGAGTTTAAAACTGAGAGCAAGATAGGTATGGTTTGGGTCTTGGACTAGAATTCTAGAGCCTCCCATTCGGTCATGAAAACTCATAGACACTGAGCAAGTCACACTCTTTCAGTTTCAGAGGAAGTCAATGGCAATCTCTTCTGAACAAATCTTGCCCAGCAAATCTTGTGAGAGGGTCACCTTTTGATTCCCATAAGATGATGGCCTGAAGGCACAAAACAACAACAATCAAGAGAAGCTCAAACTTTAGTTTATCAGGATGCAAAATATAATCAGGGAGAACTGAGAGAACTGTCCTTCCTTTAGTCAGAGAAAAGAAGCATTCATTTGTGTGTTTCCCTATCCTATTGTGGATCAGGAATATTGCTTTATAAACCCACATTGGGGTGAAGGAAGGAAGCAGAGGCTGAAAGGAAACTCAAGGGAAGGGGGAGATTGAGCTCCCTCAAAATAGAATAATTTGGTGAAAAGGAGATCCAATTGGTAAGGCTATCCCATGGAGAGTAGAGAGGAAATGATGGTGCTGGAGGAAATGGCAAGGGGAAAAAATTCAGAGAATCTCTCAGAAATTGAGCTATAAAGCAGAGAATATGCATTATAAGGGTTGAACCAGGACTTCAGTTGCAAAGCTGAAATGAACAATTCAGCTGTGTTTTTAGCGTTCATTCAAAGTAACTGGGTTTAAGGAACCAACTTCAGTCTTGTACCCTAGCTTGAGTCCCCCATCATAGGGCATTCATCATCTTCATGTATGGCTTACATCCTGTGGCTGTTGAGGAGATAAGTGTGTGCTTAAAGACTGGTTTTATCTTCTTGGTGTGCCCTGCACAGAAAAGTAATAAATGAACTGTGTTGTTGAATGTGTTCATGGCTGGAATCACTGTGGTTTGCTGAGAGTCTTCCAGACTGTATGGCCATGTTCCAGAGGCATTCTCTCCTGCGGTATGGCAGGCATCCTCAGAGGTTGTGAGTCTATTGGAAACTAGGCAAGTGGGGTTTATATATCTGTGGAATGTCCAGGGTGAGAAAAATAACTCTTGACTGTTTGAGGCAGGTGTGAATGTTGCAATTGGTCACCTTGAATAGCCTTGCAGCTTCAGAACTTGACTGCTTCCTGCCTGAGGGGAGATCCTTTGTTGGGAGGTGTTAGCTGGCCCTGATTGTTTCCTGTCTGGAATTCCCCTGTTTTCTTTGTTGTTCTTTATTTACTGACCTGAATTTGGAGTTTTTCAATTCTGGTAGCCAGATTTTGTTCAGTTTCATGGTTTCCTCCTTTCTGTTGAATTGTACCTCCTGTTTGGGAGGTACAATTCAGTATCTTGGCTTAAACTTGATCCAGTAAAAGGTTCACCATCTCCCTGATAGCAGAACTAACTAACTACCAACCTCCAGTGGCAGCTTCATGCAGCCTTGAGTTTGGTGGAAGAGAAACAAAGCAGAAATGGCAAAGAAATGGACAGCAGGAGAAAGACAAGACCTGGAAAAACATGTAGCCAGGGAAGAAACAGAGGTGCTGTCCGTTTGGACTTTGGAACAGAGATGTAAGTTTTTTCTGCAGGGTTGGCTGCCCATGCTGAAAAACAATCAAGCCTGTTCCCGAAGCAAAGGAGAAGGAATAAGATCCTTAACCCCAGAGTCTCAGATTACCTGTAGATGGGGGATGCACCTACACCAGTGGTTCCCAACCTTTTTTTTTTAACCAGGGACCACTTTGGCCATTATTAGTACCAAAAGGGTTATGAATCAGTTTTTGGTCAACTTTAGATTTGGTTTGGTTATTTGGGGGTGCCAATTCAGAAAACAGCATTGGATAGACCACATCAGCTGTAGTTTCTGATACAGAACATATGACATCCAGTAGCTGCCACCTACTCACCAAAAGAAAACCATATTTCATAATCTAGAGTTGATGTGGTAGTAGTAATCTTTCCTGGGTAGTTAGTCCCTCCCCTCCTGTGTCAGTTCTCCAGGGGTTTCTTTCCACCACTGCAGTTCTAGGATGTTATGATACAGATTGCAACAGCAGCAGGGGGTTGGACTAGATCAGGCATGGGCAACCTTCGGCCCTCAAGGTGTTTTGGATTTCAACTCCCAGCATTCCTAACAGACTCGGGACTTTTCCTGAGGCCAGGAATTTGTGTGTGTGTGTGTGTGTGTGTGTGTCAGGAGCAACTCGAGAAACTGCTAGTCGCTTCTGGTGTGAGAGATTTTGCTATCTGCAAGAACGTTACCCAGGGGACACCCTGATGTTTTGATGTTTTACCATCCTTGTGTGAGGCTTCTCTCATGTCCCCGCATGGGGAGCTAGAGATGACAAAGGGAATTGTGGGAGTTTAAGCCCAAAACACCCGGAAGGCCAAGGTTTGCCCATGCCTGATCTAGATTATGGTCTTCCTCTTTTCCTACTGCCTTGTGCCTTCACACAAGGATGGTAAAACTTTGTTTTCTCTTCTGCCTCTAGCATTTAGCATTCTCAGGCATAGAGCTCACCAGAATTTTTTAAAATGCCCGGATTCTACAGCAGTGAAAGGGGACAGTGCTATCATGTTAGCATGTGAAATGGCTTGGCAAACTAACTTGTCTATACATAATGTCAACACCGCGCCCAATAGAGCTCTGACGTCCTGGTCTCCCTGCGTTGGAAAAGGAAGGGGCCTGGGACTGTTAGGTATTGTGGGAGTTGAAGTCCAAAACACCTGGAAGGCCCAAGTTCGCCCAGGTCTGCTCTAGAGGGAATGAAAAGTCGGAGTGGTCTCAAACCGATCCCTAGGGGGGGGGGGGCGGGGATGGGATGCGCCGGGTCCCTCTCACTCACCAGCTCCAGCTTCAGAGCCTTGATCTTCTCGCCCAAACCGTGGCGCAACCCCCGGCCGGGGCTGCTCCGGAGCAGGTGCGCCGTGGGGTCCTCCCGCAGCCAGCGCAGCAGCCCCTCTGGGGGCCTCTGCCCCACTTTGCTCTCCAGCTCCTTCAAGTCGGGGGGCAGAGGGACCTCCGCGCAACCCACCGGCGCCGGGACCTCCATCGCCAGCTGTGAGGCAAAGGCGGGAGGAGGAGAAGGAGGAGGAGGAGGAGGAGGAGGAGGAGGAGGAGGAGAGAAGGAGGAGAAAGAGTTGAAGAAGGAGAAGGAGATGAAGGGAAAGGATATGAAGAAGGAGAAGGAGGAGGAGGAGATGAAGAAGGAGAAAATGAAGGAGGAGGAGAAGGAAAAGAGAAGGAGAAGGACGAGAAGGAGACGAAGAAGGAGAAAATGAAGAAGGAGGAGATGAAGAAGTCGGTGGTCTGCCTCGGGAGGAAAGAGCCTTGCTGCCTTTCAAAGTCCAGTGCCTCCCGTGCAAAGAGGAAACGCCGACCACGGTGGACCCCAAGGATCTGGGGCTGAGCAAGGCGAATTCAGGAGGCAGCGCCCCCAAATCCCAGCGCCGCAAGCCTCAGGTCCAGCGATCTGTGCTGCTGGGCCTCAGCAAACCGAGGGTCACTCCTGTGCTCTCTCGTCCATCCTTCCGAGGCCCCCGGTGCGGCCATTCATGGGCAATTTCCGACCAAAAAGGGTCAGGAGCAACAGCCAAAGTCCCTTTCTTCTTCAGAGCCGCCCTTGGTGTCTCTTTCCTTCATATCTTCCTTCCTTCCCCTTCCCTTGAGGCCGGCAGCGTGTCCCCGTGGGTTGTCAGCCACTCAGGGGAACTCCACCCGCGACAGGGCGAGATTCTCTTCTTCCCAGGGAGAAGGCGCAGGGCGAATGCAGCCGGAGGTGTGAGGCTGTCCTCTCTTCCCCTTTCGCCCTAGAGACCCGCCCCAGCCTCTGCCGGCACCTGCCTGGGACAGGGAAGCGCCCACTGCAGAGGGAAGCACCACACCGGCAGCGGCCCAGCGCCCGTAATGGACCGCGGAGAAGCGCACGCCTACTGCTACCGTATTTCCCCAGCGCAGGCAGATCAGGACGTCAGAGCTCTATTGGGCGCGGTGTTGGCATTGTAGACAAGCCAATTTCACATTCTAACATGAGAGTACTTTCTCCTTTCACTGCTGAAGACTTCTAGTGAGCTCTGTGTCTGAGAATGCTAAATATCCCTCCTTAAATTGCCAGAGGCAGTAGAGAAAAAACTTTGGTAAGTTTGAAGGCAGTAGGAAAAGAGGAAGACCATAATCTAGATCAGGCATGGGCAAACTTTGGCCCTCCTGGTGTTTTGGACTTCAACTCCCACAATTCCTGGCCTCAGGCCCCTTCCTTTCCCCCCTCAGTCACTTAAGCGGCTGAGGGGAAAAGGAAAGGGCCTGAGGCCAGGAATTGTGGGAGCTGAAGTCCAAAACACCCAGAGGACCAAAGTTTGCCCATGCCTGATCTAGATGCATAGAGTCAATCAAAGAAACTAGGGACCTGAATTTGCGAGACTTGAGCAGGGTTTTTGTGGATAAGATGACTTAGGATCATGGAGTTGGAAATGACCTCAAGGGCCATCCAGTCCATCCCCACTCTGCCATGCTGGAACCCACTGTCAAAGCACTCCTGACAGATGGCCATTAAGCCTCTGCTTCAAAACCTCCAGAGAAGGAGACCACCACCTTCTGAGGCAGCATATTCTACTGTTTAACAGTTATGGTCAGGAAGTTCTTCCTAATATTTTGGTGAAATCTCTTTTGACCAGGGACCACACTCCAACATTAGTATCAAAAGGATTACAAATCAGTTTTTGGTCCACTTTAGGTTAGGTTTGGTTATTTGGGGTGCTGATTTAGAAAATTTCATTGGATAGACCACATCAGCTCTAGTTTCTGATACAGAACATATGCCACCCAGTAATCACCATCTATTCACCCACAGAAAACCATATTTAATAATCTAAAGCTGATGTGGTCTATCCAATGAGATTTTCTGAATCAGTACCCCAAATAACCCCAGGAACAGGCCTAAAAATGAAGACACAAAGGTGCCCCACTTCCAGGTACCACATGGAATGGCTCCACTCAGGGGGAGTGAGGGAGGGAGTGGGAGAGGCTGGATGATGTGCCTTTCGTGGGTAGTGAGCCTCTCCTCTCCCAACATCCCTGTTGCCTCGGCACTATAAGAAGGTCTCACAAGATAAGTTGCTCTCATTGCAACGGTGTAGTAACGGTGAATTTGCAGACCATATTTTTCTTCTTCAGGACCACTGGTGGTTCACGGACCACAGATTGGGAGCCAATGCTCTGGAGCAACAGAAAACAAGCTTGCTCCTTGATCATTGTGACATCCTTTCAAATATGTAAACAATGACTATCATGTCCCCTCTCAGCCATCTTTCCTCAGAGTTAAATATGCCCAGCTCCCAAAGTGGTTCCTCATAGGGCTTGGCTTCCAGAAAATTTGATCATTTTAGTTGCCCTTTTCTGGGCTCCTTCCAGCTTGTCAATATCCTTCTTGAATAATAGTGACTAGAGGTCTCTCATTCGTAGGATTGCCATAAGTCAAAGGTGACTTGACCATAGTTAAGAGCAACAAAACTACCACTCCTGGGATTCCACAGGATAGAGTAGACTATGGCAGTTAAAATAAAATAGTGCTATGATTGCACAATGTGAAAGGGCCCACAGATCCTAAGCCTGTCAATTAAGGTTCTGCGAAGTAACAGAACTTCTGAAATCATGAAAACAATTGTTCACCTTCCCACAAACTTAAGGCAGTCAAGTAGCTCAGATTATAAATGCTGACTTATCTTATTTGATCAGGGTTATTGGGTTAAGTAATGTCTGGTGCAATTTTTGCCACCATAGAAAAATGGGTGTAAGACTACAATATTTGATTTAAAACCCAGTGTAGATTCACTGTCTCAATGATATGAAAGCTAGCAGCAGTCACTGAGAGGAAGCCTCTGATTGGATTGGCTTCCATAGAATGGAGCCAAGGCAATTAAAATTAATTCATAGTGCTATAACTGCATAATGTGAAAGGGCACCAGGAAAGATGAACTTGTAAGCGTGAGATGGAGAAGGTGTAATCTTTCAGATTTTCTAAACGGCAAATCCCATAGTTCCTCATGATTGGTTGTGCTGACTATGACTGATAGAAGTTTCAGTCCTAGCTGGAAAGTCATGCATTCTCATATTTGTTGATTGTTTCTCTCATTTCCATACTATTCATTGTTTACCTTTATTTTATTCTTCTATTCACATTCTTTCCCTTTACCACGACTGAACTCCACCTGGAGTACGTTGGGTCCATACGGCATTTATTTTTCCTGTCATTGATCAACCCCCCACCTGCTTAGCTTTAGCAAGCTGGTCTCCTTACATGCAGGCAGACCAAGCCCTGTATTTGCTTTAAGATATATAGGAGTGGGTTTACAAAAAGCCCTTAAACAGGTACAGATGAAAACTGCAAGAAATGACTTTAGATAAATACCTCAACTTGCACTTTGACAGCCTTCATGGGATCATTGTGAAGTCCTCCAATTCAAAATTCTCTACTGAATAGTCTAACTAGGTATTACTGTAAAATTTCACCTAGACTCCAAAGTAAAGAGGCCTTTTTACTACATTGCCAGGAAACCTCAGTTCAGATCACTGTCCTCCTGGAAACTGACTTTCACAAGCCATTGGGTTTCTTCACATTTCTCATATCCAGCCTCCCTTAAGGACTAAACTAAAGTTAATCATTTCCCAGTTGCTGTTAACTTCCTAACAAATTTGCTGTTAGCTTATTACCTTTGTCCAGCAGTCGTCGCCCCCCCCCCCCCCGCTTTGACCAACAGCATGGTCAATCTGAAATTCAGTTACTGACCTCACTTCACCTCATCATTAGCAAGAAAAAACCTGCACTCACGGAATTGCTGGATACTATGAAGCTGTTAAAAGTGCAGGTGTCTAGACTTAAAAAAAATAAAGGCAGCAGTCATAATATTGGAAATTCATATTATAGTCAGCCCTCCACATTCAGTGGGTTTAGGAGTGCAGGACCCCATGAAAGTAAAAAAAAAAACACTTAAAAAAAACAACACTTTTAAAAACCTGAGAGAAATACTTTCTTGGAATCTCCAGGTCCTCTAGTGTGGCTCTGTAATAAACATTTGCCAGAAGCTGACCATGGAATTACACTGGAGGACTTATAAATGCCTAAAGCAGTGTTCTGAAACTGCAATTCTCCAGCTGTTTAGGGCTCCAACTCCCAGAATCCCTAGCCAGCTTGTTCAATGGTAAGGAATTCTGGGAGTTAAAGGCCCAAACAGCTGGGGAGCCACAGTTTCAGGATGCCTGCTCTAGGTCCTGCAGCATAACTGTATGATCAATTATGGAAATTGGCCATCGAATTACACTGGAGAACTAGAGATTAAAAAAACATATTAATCAATAATAATAATAATAATAACATTGCTGGGGAAAGTGGAAGGTAAAAGGAAGAGGGGCCGACCAAGGGCAAGATGGATGGATGGCATCCTTGAAGTGACTGGACTGACCTTGAAGGAGCTGGGGGTGGTGACGGCCGACAGGGAGCTCTGGCGTGGGCTGGTCCATGAGGTCACGAAGAGTCGGAGACGACTGAACGAATGAACAACAACAACAACAACAACAACAACAACAACAATATATTTATATTCCACTCTATCTCCCCAAAGAGATTCAGGGTGGATTCCAACAGAGAGAGAAAAGGCAAACATTCAATGCCTCAGTCTGCATGATTCCAACACCAATTTATATATGCAATAGGTAGACTTCTGGAAAAAGTAGATGATAACTGTCATATGCTACAGATCAGTTGGAGACTTAGGACCCTTCCACACAGCCATTTATCCCAGAATATCAAGGCAGAAAATCCCACAATATCTGCTTTGAACTGGGTTATCTGAGTCCAGACTCAGATAATGTGGTATTTCCTGCCTTGATATTTTGGGATATTTTTATTTCGATTACTTCTACCCCGGCCTTCTCACCCCCGAGGGGGCTACGTGAAAGGGCTCTTATAGACAGCCCTATATCCCAGGATCTGATCCCAGGTTTTCTGCATTAAACTGGATTATATGAGTCCCCACTGCCAGATAATCTGGGATAAACAGAAAACCTGGGATCAGATCCTTGAATGTAGGGCCTGTCTGCAAGGGCCCTAAAATGCATCTAAACCAGGAATAACTGGTGGTTTCCATATCAGTAGGATGAGGACTTCTATTTTTTTAAAAAAAAAGATTTCAACACTTTTGATAACAACTTTAAAGCTCAGGCTAAAAACCTGGAACAGATTCACCATTCCACGGTTATGGAAGCCACAAGCTGGCACTACATCCAAAATTAGACTAAATCTACATCACTAGAAGAAGGACTATTTATTTTACTCTATTTTTATTTGACCAATGTGAGTGACATCAAGAGGTCTTAAAACTACTTAAGGTAATATCGACACTCATAAATATCTAATTCAGGATATGAATGTGACCAGCACAAAATGTCTCTTCCCATTCTGCAGTTTTTTAATCAGTTATATGTGTTCAATAAGATCCATACAGGCACAGTTAATACTCAACAGATGAAGCATCCAAAATCTACAACTAGCTTGCTTGATGACTGGTGTGAAGCCAAGCAATTGTGATGCTATTCTGCCATAAGCTTATGTTCTAAGCAATTTCGAGTCCCATTAGGGATAAAGACAAGATATAAATCAAATAGATAAACATAGAGTACAAGATCTGCTGCTTGAATCATGCATGTGCACAAGTTTTTCAGGTTTATCTGTCATTCACAGATAAGTTTCTGCAGATTACTAAAATCATCCAATACTTGACAACCCAACCTTTCAGTTGGTAAGCATCGTCTTTATTTGAAACAAGGCATAGGATTGCTTCTTGCAAATGTGTATGGGGTTTTGTTATTAATGACCCCTGTCCAGACCCAAAATCTTCTTTTGTTCTTGATCATGTTAGATGGCCTTCATTCTTCTGTT